AAATAAATAAATAAATAAACAAACAAACAAACAAACAAATAAATAAATAAAGGGAGCCATGCTGAAAAAAAAAAAAAATTACAGCCCAAATTAATTTAAACTATTGCCAAATAGAAATATACTAGTTTGGGACTGTTTTAAAAATTAAATAACTATTTACCTATTGAAAGTATTAATACTTTAATTATCTTAGTTAAGATGCAGAAGAGTAAAATAAGAGCAAGCCTTAATATGTAGTGTTGAGTTTCACATCCATCACTATCTTTAAACACTGAATTGTTCCCCATTGCTATACAATGAATAGCAGAATGAGACCCAGAAAAGCTCTTATGGAAATTCTGGCACCAGAAAATTTCATTTCCAGAAAATGAACATGATGGCATTCATTTTCACAAAATTTGATCATAAACCACATTTAGCATACAATCAGTAAATAGATAAACAAATCACAGGCCATCAGAAAACAATCTTGCTTTTTCCGAAGACTATGTTGTCGCTGTTAAGTTGCCTTTGAGTTGGTTGTGATTCATAGCAACCCTGTATAGGGGGGTTCCAAGGAGTGGCTGGTGGGTTTGAACCACTAACCTTGTGGTTAGCAGTCCAGTGCTTATCCTACTATACCACACCAGAGACATTGCTGTTGTTAAGTGCTATCGAGTCAGTTTTGATTCATAGTGACCCTGTATAGGGTTTCCAAGGAACAGCTGATAAGTTTGAACCACCGACCTTGCAGTTCAAACTGACTCTGTGGTCCAGTGCATTATCCTGCAGCACCACATTAGGATGGTACCCGAAAAATGTTATAGCAAAGACAGTAAGCATAAAATCTTCACTTACAGGATGTAGGTGATTATTCCTACAGACCACATATCCACCTCTGGTCCATAGGCACAACCTCTGAGAATTTCAGGAGCTGCAGAAATAGTGAAAATCATGTTAAATTGGATATCAAGGTTAACACTCATTTGAATAACAAGCAAAACCTTTTGAGCTGTTTAATAACTAATTTTTCTCCCAGACCCAAGCATGACCTTGCAAATTTTTATGTCTATTTTGGTAGGAGAGATTATAGTCTTTCTGCCTAAGAATAACCTACTGACTTTAATATTCTAAATAGGTACATCGTGATAATGCTTAAATCCGATAGATAGGACTACAAGTCTGCTAAAAAAGGCCCCTTATTTCAAAGGGAAATTTGTATATAGAAAATACTGTTGTTGTTAAGTACTGTCTAGTGGGGTCCAACTCATAGTGACCTGTATAGGGTTTCTGAGGAGCAGCTGGTGAATTTGAACTGCCGACCTTGTGATTCCAAGGACCTTGTGGTCCTGTGCTTATTCTACCGTACCACACCAGAACTCCATATAGGAAACAGGAAGAAATTAAAGGAGAAAAATTAGCACAGTAAAGGGACAAAAAGGCATCATGATGCTGTCTGGAGACCTAGAACTACTTGGAGCAGAGCGTACCAGCGTGTGTGTATTTGGCTATGCAGGGCAGGGACCAGGCAGATGGTAGAAAAGACTGGGAAAGGTACTGTCTCTAGTGCTGGAAGGTTGGGACAGAAACTAGTAGGGACCCTGGCACATGTCCCAGTAAGAAAAGCCACATGTGGGTCCCCAGAGATCAGCTGAGGGTTATGAACTGAGAGGGGGCCCCTATCTGGGCATAACGAGGTAGTTCATATCAGCCCTCTCCTCTGTTGCCAAAATGCACGGTTTTCTCAGTCATGAAATGGCCCAATAGAGGAAACTGGCAAAACTTTTCATATTTTTACTATGTGCCAAGGATTGGAGATATTGTTTGTCTGACTAAGCATAAAAGAAAAGTGAGGTCTCCACTATCGATGGAAAAATATGGTTCATGTCTATAGCCCAGAATGGCCTTTTTAAGTTTGAATAGAAATGGTAAAATGCTGGTAGGGTGTTAGTGAAGGAGCTAACAGATGAAGACTGAGAATTCTTGAAGGAGGTCTTAGGTGCAGAAGAGTAAGTGAGGTGGACCCTTCCTTCATCCATACAAGCTGGAAAGCCATATTCAGTATGGACTATCAAAGTGAGCTTCAAGCGAGGACTCTGGAAGCCCAGAAGTGCCTCATGGGATGCAGAATTTCACATGTGGGAATGAACACAGTGACTTTTCCATAGAAAGCTTACAGTACAATCTGTTTACCCCACTTTTTTCCAATCAGGGTTTTCTTTTCCCCATAGAAGTTGTGTTACATAAAATATACACAATAAAGAGTCTGAAAGGTGAAATGCCTGATGTGGTGCTGTAGGATCAGCACTGGACTGTGACTCACAAGGTCAGAAGTTCAAATGCACCAGCTGCTCCTTGGAAACCTTATACAGGGTCACTATGAGTCAGAACTGATACGATGGCATTTAACAAGAACAACAAGGTGAACTGAGGGTGTGTCTTCTATCACTCTCTCCAGAAATTTAGCAAGATCCAAGATGTACCTTTTAAGGAATTGAAGCCAAGTTGTTTTTGTTAAGTGCTGTCAAGTCAGTTCTGACTAATAGCGACCCTGTATAGGGTTTCCAAGGAGTGCCTGGTGGGTTTGAACCACCACCCTTGTGGTTAGCAATTCTGTGTGTATTCTAAAGCACCACACAAGAGATGTTGTTGTTAGGTGCTGTCAACTCAGTTTTAACTCATAGCGACCCTGTATAGGATTTCCGAGGAACAGCTGGTAGCTTTGAACCACTGACCTGTTGGTTAGCAGTCCAGTGCTGGTCCTACAGTGCCACACCAGGAGTCCAAAGGTAGTTACTGGTAATTCAAAGACGATGAAAGGAGGAGAAACACTCTACCTACAGTATTTCCTATTCCTCTCTTGTTGAAGAACCTACAGTATTTCCTATTCCTCTCTTGTTGAAGCTGCTACTGTGTCTGCTGCCTACACTGCTGAATATAGTGAAATGAATCTTTCCAATAATATGTGGTCCAGAGACTCATCTCCACACTATTATAATTCCCAGCCCCAAAGGCCCAAATGAAGTGAAGACCATGGAATACTTTTTTTTTTTTTCAGCTATGTAATATGTAGTCCTAGTGTGGTGCTGTAGGATAAGCACTGGACTGCTAAACTGTAAGGTCAGTTGTTCAAACCCACAAGCCATTAAATACTTACTAAATTGATTAATTAAAAAATATTAATTTAAATACTTACTAAATACCAGTGCTCTTTATATACTAAATACCAAGGCATTTTGGAGCTCTGGTAGCATAGTGGTTACGAATCGGGCTGCGAACTACAAGGTTAGCAGTTCGAAACTACCAGCTGCTCCGTGGGAGAAAGATGAGGCTTTCTGCTCCCGTAAGGTTTTACAGCCTTGGAAACCCTGTACAGGGTTGCTATGGGTCGGAACCGACTCGACGGCACTTAACAACAACAACAACCAAGGCATTTCATACTTCAGTCTTCAGTACAAAATAATGCTGGCAAATAGTCTAGGGATAGCTAAAATACCAGACTTAACTTTTAAAAAAACACACATGCATTTAAGTGACTTTAAAAATTATACTAAACAATCGAACTGTACTGAAACTATTTGTTCAGCAACATAATACCTAGATCACAGAGTACTGATTTTTTTAGATAAGATGATGACATCATCAAAACACCATGATTCAGATGAATTTCACTTTGTAAAATAAAATCACCGCAACCAGTTTTGGAAATGCTCCTACAAATAGCAGTTCTCCAGTTTTTTCTTCTGAGGTGAATTTGAACTTCTAACCTTTGGTTAGTAATCAAGTGCTTAACAATCTGTCATCCAGGGTCTCTGCCCAAAAAGAAAGATGAAGGTGAATGAAATCAATGAGTTGTTTCATTCACTCATTAAATAAATCAAGTATTTATTAAGCATCTGCTGTATGACAGCTAACTGTGCTAGGTGGTGCTGGGGGAATAATACTGGAGGAGTTAAAAAGAACATGTTCTTTCCAATGCAGAGCTTTTAGTTTGGTGGGGGAAGAAGATGTTAGTCTTCCTCCCCCACCAAATGAAGAAGTACAAAGTGGTAGCTGGAAGTGCTTGGAAAGAGAGTGTCTCTAAGTGGTTTGATATAATCAGGGAGGTCAGACAAAATAATCCAGGGAAGCTAAATTTGAGCTAAGGTTTAAGGAGCTGGAGGAGTTAATTATAATTAGGCAAAGGTGAGGGTGGTGGTTGAAAGAAGGAAGAGAAACAGTTTCAGAAAGAGAAAACACACATGTAGCGGGCTGGTAGCAGGAAGGAGCAAGGGACTATCAAGGAAGTCAGTATGTCTGGACCAGGAAGTCACATGCAGTACAGCTCAGGTGTAAAGCAAGCAGAGGTCAGACTGAAGATTTCATAGACCTGGGGTTTTGATTGTTTGCTTGCTTGTTTCTAAATCCTCTCCCTGGCATTTGTTTTAGCAATTCAAAACATATGGGGGAATCTATTTGCATTTTAAATCTTGAATCTGACTGTAAAAAACTACCCTCCCACCCACTGCTACAGAGAAAAACATTGTGAGATTTTTCACCTGTCGATGCTTGTTTTGAACTCAGAATAGTTTCTCTTTTGCCCCAACATTCAGTGCAGCTCTAGTTCAGCATGTACACAGATCTCTGAAGTTAGTCTCTGGGGAGTGAGCAGTGTGGGAGGAGGAAGAAAGGAGGTGTCTGCCAGAAAGTAGATGAGCAGTGGTAGGAAATTCTGTCTCTTCTGACTCCTAACTTGGCTTCCTAAAGAAGGTTCTTATTGGTGGCAGCAGTACACAGCTGGGTGAACTCCAAACTGGGTACTTTTACCTCTAGGTGGTGTGAACAGTGTCATGGATTGAATTATGTCCCCCCAAAATATGTGTCAACTTGGCTAAGCCGTGATTCCCAGTATTGTGTGATTGCTCTCCATTTCAAACTCTGATGTAATATCTGTGATATGCGTTGCATATCTGAGATATGTAGATCTCCAAGGAACGCTGGACCCAAATGTGTTGAAAGTAGACAAAGATTTTTCTCCAGAGATGAGAGAGAATGCTTTTCCCTAGAGCCTTTACTCTGAATTTGGACTTGTAGGCTCATGTTATAGGATATGCACTAAACCTATCAGCTCCTCCTCCATGGGAGAAAGCTTCCATCTCCAACAATGGTTTATAGCCTTGGAAACCCTATACAGGGTCACTATGAGTTGGGATAAACTTGATGACAGTGGGTTTTATTTTGTGTTTGGTTTTTTAATAGTGAGAAAACAAATTTGTTTGTTAAAGTCATCCATCCATTTGTTGAAACAGCAATAGAAAACTAAGACAAACAGCATGCTTGGTTGCTATCTGAAAGGTTAGAGACTCATGTTCACCTAGATACCTTGTTAGAAAGTCATGTCAAGAAAAATCAAAATCAGTCAATAGAAACCCTGTTGTTGGTGGTGGTGTGAAGTGCCGCCGAGTCAGCTCCGACCCACAGCAACCCTATATAGGGTTTCCGAGCAGCAGCTGATGAGCTTGAATCACCAACCAAACAGCTTTGCAGTCTGGTGCATTAACCCACAGTGCCACACCAGGACTCCAGAACCCTTGTTGTTGGTGCTGTTGTTAGGTGCCATTGAGTTGATATCAAATCATAGTGATCTTATGCACAGCAGAACAAAACACTGCCCGATCCTGAGCCAACCTCACTACTGTTGCCACGGTTGAGTCCATCGATGCTGCCACTTGGCCATTCCATCTCGTTGGGGGCCTTCCTCTTTTTCTCTGACCCTC